AAACAAATTAACAACAGTTCCAGGAGTAACAATAAGGGCGCAGTTGAAGCAGAGGAGCAATACTCGTTATCCACAATGGTGCAAAAACATTACTATATATTTCAACTCAAACCCGCATAATTAATCCCACAAAATAACCAAAAAAACCCTAGCTCAAACAAGCAAATATATTAACAACAATTACAAAAGGGATCCAATAGAAAACAACTTAACAATATAACAAACGAATAACAAAGCAAACCCATAAACCAAAAATCAACAAAGCATAAAAAAAGTCAAGCACGAAGAATAAATGAATAAGAGAGAAATAGTCTTTAGAATATAGGAGAAAAAACAAGAAGACCCAGAAGGGAACAGAGAAAAAGACGTGTTTTAGGACTACCTTGGCTAGGGTTTTGAGTGGGGAAGGAGAAGATAAGAGACGAATAGAGAGAACTTGGCTTCTTTTGTTCGCAGGCGGCGCTTAAGGTTTTGGTTTAGCTTTGCTTCGATATAAAAAAGCTTTCTCAGAGTACTTGTACATGAGTTATAATCCGACGGTCAAGATTCGTCGTGAGGTTATCCACGTGGCGTAATCTTAATGGCGTTTGGCTGGCTTTATTGAACTGTGAACTCATCCTCTGCCGTTCGATTTTAGTTGGGTATAGATCAAATCGATCCGGCTCTTTAACTTCTTTTTTCCAGGACGAGGCGATTAAAAAACATAAACCTTACCGGAGTTGATAAGGCCAGTAACGTACCAGGGCACAAATCTCCACCGTTGGATTCAATAGTAATCCGACTGACCAAGAATCTAATAGTAAAAACTAGTTGATAATTAGGGATGGGCATAGGCCGGGGTGGGGCCGGGGTGCCCTGTCTCTGGCCCTAACCCAAAAGCTCAAAGGGATTCCCTCATCCCGACCCGTAGTCCATGCGGAGAATCGCTGAATAAAGCCCGTTCTCCAAACGGGGATTTCCCGAATTCCCCGTTTGGCGGTTTTGTAATTTTGTGTCTTTTTATATCCTTATTGCTATTTTTTCCAAATTATAATATACTATTCAAAAAGAAATTAAATCTATAATGTACACATTAAACATAAAGACCATCATACTAAATTGATAATATATTATAATATGTACATATTACACATATATATGTTATATACATTATATTTATATACCATATATAATGTATAATGTATAATGTATAACTTTTATTTCATAGCATTAACATATTTTATATATATATATATATATATATATATATGGGTCGGGCTAGGGATTTCGGGGCGGGGATAAAATGAGGTCGAGCCGGGGCGGGGCGAGGCAAGACCTATCCCGACCCCGACCCATTCTTGAAATTCGGGACTGATTTTGAGCCCGATCCCGGCCCAAATCCAGAATGATTCGGAGAAACCCTACCCCGTTCGGGGCAGGTCCCTGTTGGGCGAGGTTTTATGCCCATCCCAATTGATAACGTTGCCAATTGAACAAGGTCTAGTCTAAAGCAAAGAATGCTATAATTAGGGGTTAATAATGTTGTGGATTTAGTTAATGTATTAAACTTAATAAAAAAGACCCTAAAAACTTAAGCAAATAGTACTGTAATTATTAATTAGGTGTTAATAATTCAATTAAGGTGTTTAATTTTTGGACATACTTTGTGGAAGCAAACTACAGAGTCCGATCATACGATTTTACTTAGATTGTTAACAAATCCTAAAAAACCAACTTTTTTCTATAATCATGTCAAGAAGACAAACTATCAAACTTGATAAGCTGACAAAGTTTGCATTTGATGATTAGCGCTACTCGAATCCAAAATATTTCACCACTCGATAATTAACAATAGACATTGATGATTATAGCTTTGCATTTGATGAAATCCGATAGAACTCGGAATCTACATGTTAAGAGAGTTGATGACTGCGATGTATCAAAGATTCTTGATCCCTGCCATCAGTTTGGACACTGGCAATGATGTGTGTACAGGAACTGGGAACCAACAGCTCTATGTGCGAGGTAGTCAAAGAAATTGAGCACATCCTGCAGCCTGCAGAGTCCGGAGTCCATAGCTGAAGCCTGAATGGTTTCCACATCAAAAGATATATAGAAGCTGCAGAAATAAATAGCAATCTTTTAGCGTGGTTTTGCCATTGTAGTTGATATCAAGCCACTGTTGATCTGGACGTCTTACCCCTCTTAACTTTCTGGTTTTTTAGGTTCTCATATTACTGGCTGTTATAAGTTTGTAACTGGAGTAAGGCATTTCACTTAGCTTCCCAAACCTTCCCTCGTAGAAGTGCCATACTTCTGACCTAATCACATAAAAGATCAAGTGAGAATACTATTGACAGGTTTGGTCAAATCAGAGAATCAAAGGAGCAAATCAAAGAATAGCTGAATTTCAGATGTTGTACCAGTATGCCAAGAACTGAAATGGTGCATACTTTCCATAGTTCATTTTAACGTCATTTTGAACTGTTTTAATGGTACAATTTCTTTTATGGACCTGCATTAGCAAACTGTCACAGATATACCAAACAAAATTTCACACAATGCATAAAGGAGAAACAAAACATTACCTGCTTTAAATGCCTGATTGTTTAGGAATCTGATGGAATCACATGGTAAATTCCCATGCATACAAGCACATTGGCACATGTAAATGGACCAAATCCATCAATCTTGCTCAACTGTTTAGTCAGCTTATCATAGCTGGCTAAACTTGCTTCACTACTGCAAATTTCTTCAAGTTGTTCTAACTGAATCCTGCCTTCAACAATAGCCAGGACAAGTTTTATTATACGACCTGCTCTGTAGCCAAGATTGCAGCGCTTTGCCAGAAAACTTTCATCAATATTTGCTAGTTCTCCTAGACTCGGAAAATTACCAATCCTATCACTAGCATATGTTTCTTTCCCTTTAGACTAAAGATCAGACACTAAACACAAATCACTTGTAGACAGCTCATGCGCTGCACATGAATCATCTTCAATGTCATCCTGAGGAAAGCTTGGGTTCAAATTCTCTTCTGATTTTCTAACACAATTCAGTTTCGAATCCAAATCTTATTCCAAGTTTGCTTTAACCTCTGAAATTTGTTAGTTAATGAGGTGGAAACTTTCGACAATTTCCTCCTCCTCTTCAAATCTTTTCCTGCTGGTGTCTTCGGAATGTAATCCTCCTGCTTAACTTCAGCAACCGGGCTACTGAATGAACAATGCTGCAACTCAAACTGAAGCTCACAAAGTACCCTAGCCATGCTCAAAGTCCTCGGCCACCTGTTAAAATTTAAATATATAGTTTACCAACTTTTTGTTAAAAATCAAGAAGAATACCAACATGTAGTCTAAGAGCNTAGTTAGTATAACTTCCACTCTGAGGAAGTAGTGAAGGGACGCCATATCTTTCATTGTTTGTTAACAACATGAGCTAAAAACTTTTTGTCATTGCCCGTAAGGACTAAATCATCAACATAAACAAGGAAATATCGTATAATGGAATCATGACGATAAACAAATAGAGAGCAATCAGCTTTAGAATTTTGGAACCTAAGTGCTATAAGAGCATTTTTTAAAGCTTAATACCACTCCCTTGGGGCTTGTTTGAGACCATAAATTGCTTTCTTTAGCCTGCACACATAATCAGGTCGAGACAAATCTTTGAAACCTAGAGGTTGCACCATGTAAAAAGTTTCAGTCAGATTTCCATGTAAAAAACCATTGTTTACGTCCATTTGTTTCAAGGGCCACCTATTCATGACTGCAATGCTCAACAATGTCCTTATTGTGGCTGGTTTAACCACTGGGCTAAAAGTTTCTTTATAATCAACTCTAGGTCGCTGATTATAGCCCTTGGCAACAAGCCGTGCTTTGAATTTATCAACTGAGCCATCTGCTTTCCGTTTAACTCTAAACACCTAGTTACAACCCACTGGACAGTTGATGGGTGGAGGAATTAAATCCCAAGTACCATGCTGCATGAGAGCAGTTAATTCACTAGACATGGCTTCACGCCATTCAGGGTGAGATACCGCTTGACTCACACATGTTGGTTCTAGAGGTAACGAAAGAAAGTGCTTAGAAACAGTGTGCAATTGCTTGGGTTTGAAAATGTTGTTCATGGATCCAGTAGTCATGGAATGGGTTCGGGTGGAGGAAGATTCATTGTGCATAGGACATTGTGAATTAGGAACAGACAGTGGCGGATCCAGAATTTTTGTCGAGGGGGGGCCTTCGCGGCTCCATCATTGTTTGTTAAACAACTAGTAAAAACTTTAAAAAATCATGAAACCTTAAGCAAATAAAATAATACAATATCAAGAACCTGAGAAAAAAGAATGCAATAACGCTATACTTTCCTATTTGAATAAATTCATGAGAAGCAAAATTTTGGGTAAATGTATTAAGTAAACCTTGAGCAAAACCTTCTTTTAATTTTTTTTTTTTTTTTTGGCTTCCAAAGATTATAATATAAATTTTCATGATTTTGACCAGACCTAACCTAAGCTAAAGTCAACTAAAACTTAAATCAAGTCAACATTGCGTTGACTTTATATATGAATTAATAAAAAAAAAAAGATTTTTTTTGATATAAACATAGATAGTAACTCAAATTTCTTTATTTATTTTGAGTAGCAGAACAGTGATGTTTGAAATATAGGAAAGTGGTGGGTGAAAGGTAAAGAATAACGTCTTTTAAAATATAGTTAAATTTTTAATTTTGGAAAACAAGTTCATTCTTAGACACAAAACACAAAATAAACTCACAAGATCCATGTCTTTTCCCCTCAAATTAGAATAAAAAACCTCCACAAAGAAAAAAGTATGATTCAACCCTAAAATAAACTAAATTGAAATGAGCAATATACATACCTAAAATTAATAAAATAGAAAACAGAGCTAATTGTGACATCTAGAGTAGTGAAAGCTTCAACAATTTCAGTCTTAAAAGTTTTAAGATTGAATAGCATGAGGAAGAGAATGAGAGAGTAAAGAATTTTGGGGATAAAATCATAAAAAACAGGTAGAGCCGGAAGAAGAGTGGAGAGAGTTTTAAACTTTTAATATGATATGAGCTTGAAATATATATATTAATAACAAGTTTTTTGTGGGTCTAGATATATGCATAATAATTCTCATTTTAAAAAAATCTGGGATGAGCCTGGACATTTATGTAGTAATTTTTGTGGGTCTACGTATTAATAGCTGAATCCGCCCGTGGGAACAGAAGTAGATGCAAGTTGATTGGAGAGTGAATCATGCGGTGCTGTAATATTTAAACTAGCATTCAAGTTCAAATTTAAATTCATATCACTACGGCTGTCATGCATTGACAATGAAAAGGAGTAGAGGTAGAGGAGGATATACCTAGAGGTGGTGTAGAAATAGCAGCAACATGTTCTAAGCTTGGTGGTGGATGTGATGAGTGATCAGGACTTCGTGAAGGCACAGAAATTGAAGGAGCAAAGGAGAAGGAATTAGGGCACGAATTATATTTAAAGAAAAAGTGAGGGTCGACAGGTGGCCTTTCTGTGGAGCGTGGGTCGTGTGTGAGATTTGGGAAGACTGGGCTCTGCAGTTCATGGAATGTCACATGCCTAGAAACATATATTTGATCCGTTAATGGATCCATGCATTTATATGCATTCTGTGTTTGGGAATATCCGATGAAAATACATGGAATTGATTTTGGTTGTAATTTATGGGTATTATACGGCCTTGTGAGAGGATAGCATAAACAACCAAATTTTCGCAATTTGAGATAATTTGCCCGTTGACCAAAAAGAACCTCAAACGGAGACTTGTTTTGAAGAAGGGGAGTTGGTTGGCGATTTATACGATAAGTGACGGTTTGGAATGCATAAGGCCAATAAGAAAGAGGTAAAGAAGCATCATGAAGCAAAGTAAGACTCATCTCTACAAGATGACGATGACGCCTTTCGGAAAATAGCAAGAATTATATATAATATATATATATATATATATTATATATATATATTATATAATATGAATTGGAGATTTAAAAGTTAAAACTACGAATTAAGGGTTGATTTTGAAACAGTTAACTAGTGAACCGAACCGAATAATATGTTTAGTTAAAATCTGGTTTACTCATATAACCGGTTTGTTTCAGTTCAAGTTTGCTTGAACTGAATAACGGTTCGGTTCATAAATATCCTATCCGGTTTGGTTAAAGGATTTTCCCATCCTACCACTACTAAGTATTTCAACTTACAATTTTCAATGTTCCCCTCTCCAGGTAACATAGAGATATTGTTGACTGAGCAATGATTCCACAAGGCTAGGCCCACGTGACATCATTTTACATGTGTGTAGCACTATGTATTTTGTTTTAGCTACAAGAACTAGTTTTACATTTGTGTTTGCCTCATGTTTTGCTGTAATGTTATGAGGACTGATACCCCATGTGTTTTAGATTTGCAAAGGTATATGTTATGTTTCAGATTCTAATGCATGTTATATATATATATATTAGGGTTTTCATTTTTTCTATGACACATCTCGGTCGCTTGAGTCTTATAGTGTGTCCGGAGCCGCAGGTAAGGATGGTTGGAAAGGGTCGTGTCAGATAAATTCTCTCAATCTAAAATCTATTGTGTCATTGTATTTGAATTGTAAAATCTTAATTCAATAAGGTGAATCCAAAAATTCTAAACAATATAGTAAGTGTTTTGAATAAACAAGAAGTGGTTAGATTGGTCTTTAGTTGCTCAACTAGACTGTCAAAATATCTCAATATCTTATTCATAACTTTAAATTAAAAAATATTCTTTTAGTGTTTCTTGTCCCCCTGTGTTTCTATAAGAAGAAAGTAAAGCCTAAAATGATTTTTTTTTTTTTTTTTTTATGATTGGGCAGTTGAAGGGAGGATATAGCAACTTGCATTTTTTTTAACATTTTTATTTTAATTATGAAATTCATGTTGTGGGAGCAAGAGCTAGGTAGAAAATTTTCTGTTATGGAAATTAATAATTTAATAATGACAAACCGGGTTTTTTTTTTTTCTAAATTTTCTTCAGTTGAAATCTCTTACTCATTAACTCATAGTTCCACATATTTCTAAGTTGCTAATATTCCAGTTCGATATCAGAAATATTGGGTAAGAATAGAATTTATAAAATTTTAATAGCGGACACGTACATATATGGTAGTTCATAGAGTTTTAAAAATAGAACTTGCCAAAATAAATTTTTATTGATAAAGTCATGGATTGTTTAGTTAAATAGATGTTAAATATTTTTTATTATCAAAAGAATTCATATAAAAAAGAAGAATAAAGCAAAATTTCTAAAATGCTATGAGAAATTTTTTAACATTTAAATTAAATTAAATTAAAAATTATACTCGTAAAAATTATAGAAAAGTAAATATTTTGGAGCTCACAATGGAAATGTCAACACACAAATTGTATTGATCTCTAAGATTTTTATACAGACTTTCAAATCTATCTAAGGAATTGTATAAGCTAAAAAATAACATGTACTCAATTACAAATTTGTTTACTAAAATACAATAAAATGCATCATATAGGACATGAATCTCGGCTTGATTATTGCTGCAAATCACTTCCAGATTTCTTATTTGAATTTGAATCTACTTGCTTCTTGTGTCACCTTCCTTAATACGCCCCGCAAAATTGAGCTTCCATCGGCAAGACCAATTTGGCTCTTAAAAATTCTGTACATTCCGGGATAATGGCTTAGTTAGTAAATAGCCAATTGATCTTGAGTGTGAACATGACTCACTTTAAGGGACCTTTCTAACTTGTCATGTACAAAATGAAGATCAATTTGATATGTTTCATTCTTGAGTTGGACCGGATTAAAGCTGAGATGAGGTCGCTCCAAGATTGTCACATAGAAGAGAAGGTGGCACCTTTAATGAAAAACCAAGTTCTTGAAGAAGTGCAAGTAACCACATTGTTCTATGCGCTGTTGGCTAGAGCTCGATATTTTGCTTCCGTAGTGGACCGAGCAACAACTCTTTGTTTTTTTGAACTCTGTGAGATGGGATTGCAGCCCAGAAAATGTAATGTAAGCCGATGTGGAGTCTGTCATCAATGTTCCAGCCCAGTCGACATCACTGTAGGTTGTTAAGCATGAGTACTGCAGCTGTTGAGGTGAATACCGTGAAAGATCGTCTTTTGAGATATCAAGAAGCCTCTGAGTAGCACTCCAATGAGTGACCGTTGGCTGTGCATAAATTGAGAAAGGTTATTGAGGCAAAGGAAATGTCGGGACGAGTTAGGAAAGATATTGTAGCTGCCAATGACGCGCCTAAACTGTCTTACTGTCCACTACAGCGTCCC